GCGCGCGACTTCGCCTGCCACACCCTAAACCCTAAACCCACTTAAACCCTCGCGGGGGGAGGAGAAACCCTTCAATTCACTTAAACCCTCGCGGGGGGAGGGGAAACCCTTCAATTCACTTAAACCCTCGCGGGGGGAGGGGAAACCCTTCAATTCACTTAAACCTTTTTCAACCCTGCGGAACCCTCGCAGCCTCGGCCCACCGAGCCGAGGCCGCTGCGGCCGAGTCTGAGAGCGCCAGCGTCTTAAGGCGATCTGGATATCAGGATGCAGATTTTCTTAGGCGTTGAGGGTTCTTGGGTTGGTATATTTGTAGGATCGAAGCACTCAGCGATCCGGAGCCGCTGAAACTTAAACCGTAAACCCTGAGTTCGGAGTCTGCGTCTGGCTATGCTCCGGAGCGCTTTAGCCGCTACCTAAACCTAAATAACAGGAGCTCATTTCGTGGCTACGGGAAGTGGACCTTTCGGCTAGTGCTCAGAGGGACGTCACTGTCCTTGAGATGTTCTTTGCTTTTACTGTTGCCACGAAGATGTCTATGCCGGTTTTAGTCTCCAATACTGGTGAGTCTCGTTTTGTTCCACGTATTGAAGCTGTGGCTGGGGAAGCTGCTTGTTGTACTGTGGCTGGTTGTTTAGGCATTTTCGACAGACTATTCAACGCCATTCTTCATGCAAGTGGAACAGTTCTTCTAAGAAGACAAACATCATTGCCTAAATATGGCATTTACAAGCCAATGCCTGCAGTCAGATGCGGTTGGCCTCAGAGTATGGTTGATCTTATTGATGGGGTTCTTTGCCGGTTTCTTCGGAAGCCAGTTCGACGCGCTGGTGATCTCAGCAGGCCTTTGGCTCTTTATGTTTGATCCCCCAACGTGGGGCTTCACTTGGCCTTTGCCCGCTGCCTCGGCTGCGGGAAAGGAATCGATGCAGAATCGAAGTGTCCGAGATAAACCTAAATAAACCGAGTCTAGAGTTTGTACACGTCATCCCTGACAGCCCTGCTCCCCTAAAAAAGCGATAGAGCAAAGAACGGATATCCCAAACAACGCTCACTTTAAACCGCCCTATCGCAAACCCGCTGTACCCGAGAAGTCCGCCTACGCCCCAAAACCCTCTTAAACCGGAATGAAATGCCCTGAAGCCTGAACCATCCCGGAACCGTAAACGATCCGCAAACCACAAGACCCTCCTAGACCCTAAACCCTCCTAAAGCCCAAACACTAGATCCTCGCAAAGCCTTATCTCCGAAACGCGCTAAACCGCTTAAACCCTCCCTTCGCCCAATCGGCGGCTCCGGCCTCGGTGCCGAGCGAATCAAGAGCCGCGGCTCGAAGCTTCTTTCTGAACATAACAGGAAGGAAATAAGTACTCTTCCGTAATCCCTCCTTGACAACACCACATCCGCAACGTTATATCTAAAACACTTGACAACCAAACCCTAACCCTAAACCACCTGATCAAAAACACACACGCACACACACTGAACAGCTCCATCAAACACACCGAAGTGTTCGGCAAACTTGGACCCAACTAAACAACTTCAACCCTGAACCCTAAACCTTCCGGGACACACCACTTGTCGGCGCCTCGTGCTAAATCCAAAAGCCACCTAAACCCAGAAAGATCCAGAAAGCACTGTAAGCCCCACCCAAAACCCCCTGAAGCCAAAACACTTCTAAACCCTAAACTTAAGACTCACTTAATCCCCCAATTCAAAGACCTTAAGCCCTGTTTGAACCTTCTGAAACCTTGAATCCTGACACCCCGAATGCTAAAACCAACATTTCAACCCTAACACCTTTTTCCGCTTGACCCTGCAACCGTATCTGTGAAGCCTTACACTGCAGCCTCCAATCCTGGGCCCAGCTGGATTTTGGCACAATCGGCATTTGCCTCAGCACTACAACGCAAAACGATCAAACGATCTTGCGTGATAAAACAATGGAGCTCCCAAAAGGAAGGGAACACAAGGACACTAGTATTTGCGACTTCTTTAATTTCGCCGGGGACTTCAAGATCGAGCCGAGCTGACGGACAACGGTGACTGAGAGCGCATCAGCGGGGGTCAGCATCTACTTCGGCATGATACATCACAAGTGCCTACTCTGAAGGGTCGAGAAGCATGAAGCTTCCGGATATCAGCATCCTAACACTGTGAGATGCAGGGCTGAAGCACCTTCACACTGGGGTTTCCGCTCCATTCAAGCAAGGCTCAGATCCCTGTTGCCGAGACCAGCGAATGCGGCAGCGGCGACAGGAGATGTGCTGCCTCACTGCGCAGCGAAGTGGCCCATGCGGCCTCAGAAGGCAGCAATTAAACGAAGCGGCTTCTGATGGTTGGGCATTGGGCCTCAGATGGCCTCAGGCAGGAGGCCATAAACATGGCAAGTCTCCCACGTGATGTTCTCATCTTTGAAGGCTTCGCCAGCCGGCCAACTGAATCTATGAGGGCGGCAATCTGACAACGAATGAAATGTTGACCCTTGATGTGTTCACGAGTTCCGCGGTGGAATTCAGCACGAAGATCTGTGGTTCAAAAGGCTCCAGACGCAGGGACAGCGTGTCTTCTCCAGCCCAATGACCACATGCACAGCATTGAAGACATAATCCTGAAGAGTTGATGAATCCTAAATCCTGACCTCAAAAGCTTTTCTATGTCGCTTTTCCAAAGCAGAACATCTGGATTCAACTTCGGGTGCTGCTCCTGCCGTGCCATCCTTAGCAGCAGTGCTGAAAGCAAAAGTTGAATCTCTTGCAGCATGGCAGCATATGTTAAGCCATGGCATCCGTCAACTTCAGCGGCGCTTTCGACAACCGCTGCTCCGATGTCAAGCAACATGCGATCTTCCAGCGGCGGCTTTGGGGACCCCCGCCCGCCGGCTGCTGCGGCTGGGAAGTGTACGAGTTCTGGGAGAGCTTGTTGTGGAGCACTTTGGTGTTAAGTGTGGGATAGCTTGTGTTGAGTACTATGGCTTTAGTTGGCGATGGCTTTTTCGTTTTTTTTGTTGTCTGCTGAGTCGTTTAGCTGCACGACTTCAAGGACCGTGGGGCTGAGGGCCGAGGACGGGGGCGAACGGCGGGCGGCATGGCGCGATGCTGGCGAGTCAAGCTTCTCCACGAAGAGCTGGCAATACCCACAACGAGGGATGGCTATGCAATGTCCCACACTCAGCACACTTGAGGCTCAAGCGGTTCAACCTCCATTGATATTGATGTGGAATCAACGGGGCAGAGGGACGGTGGCAGGGGCTTGGTCCAGGACCAGCGCGGCTTGCAATGGCTCAGGATTCAGTCAAGCAGCTGGCTGCACCCACGCCGCTTGTGTGTGATGATTAGGAAAGAGGAGCGACGCTGAGCCTTGGTGCCGGTGATGAGGACCTCCAGCACCCAGGCTCCACCTCCTGCATCCACCCAAGCTGCGCTGTAAGAGCTACCAAACCAGTCCGACAGCCGGCTATCCCAGTTCCAAAGTCATAAGAGGTACAAGCCTTCTGGATCTCGTGGCCTTGCATATCCGTTGCTGCAGGTCTCTGCTGCTGTGGTCCTGGCCGGTCCGGGGACATCAACCAAGAAAGAAACAAGCGTTTTACGAGTGAGTTAGTTTGGATACCAATATTCGTAGCTCTACGCTCAGGCCACACCACCCAAGTCCCTAGTCTACAGCGCCGGGAAAGCAGATTCTTCACATGAGCATGCTTTGGCCGCGCCCCAAAATCTTCAGCCAGCGCACCTCTGATTGCTGAGGAGGCACGGGTCTCAAACCTCTAGCTTGTGAGAGGACCAAGTGAATTCATGAGGGCTTCGCCGTTGGTCGAACCTGGTAGAAACATGAAGGAGACTTAGCAGTTGCGTCGTTTGGGTGAAAGTGCCGTAGATGACCAACCGACCAGTGGTAGGCCTCGAAGCGGTCAAGTCTGTATGTTAGGTTCGTGACCTGGTCAGTTGTGGCGAGCTCGTTCCATAGTAACCAGTGTCCCCCCATTCCGTTTCGCCGACTCCTGCGTGGTAGTATGTTCTGGTAACAGCATACCAGGGGAGTATTTGTGGCTTTCTCGAGTTCACCTCGTGTTCATAGTGGACGTCTACACTCAGAAACGGTATGTCTGTGTGAAAGGTGGGCGAAGTTCTCAGCTCCATGACACTTATGTGCCAAAGCATCAGCTGTACCTGCTGACTGGGTTGCCCTCCTGTCAACCCGATGTGGTACTCATTAAGTTGAGCTGCATCTCAAACTCCGCGCATGCATCCTGAGAACTTTACGTATCTATATTATATACTGCACAATTTCTCACGGAGTTTGGAAAGTGGCTCGCTCGGCATTGCACAGCTAGGAACAACACCATGAATTAGTAGTGTCATTGGCTGCAAACGAGCGGAGGCTTTGGGAAGAGCGTCAGCCGCGACGAGGAACATAGCCATAATGCACTAGAAAATATTATCCTGTCTCAAACCGTGTGCTCCTCCTTGTCATCCTCGGAAATTCTACTCAGCAGGGACTCACTCGCAAAGACCGCGGACTCTGCCAAGGGGTCCCATGATCCGACTGAAGTGGACATCAAGCTCTCCTCGGCTTCAATCCGTCATGTACACGGTAAGTATGGCTGCAAAAAAGATTCAGGTACAATATGTACACTTCGCCAAGTGTACAACTATGTGCTTACGCAGCATTATTGGTACAATGTTGATTGCATTTCCCCGTAAATGTTTACTGTTCTCGGGTGGACATCAGCCTCTCGTGGGCTACGGAGCCGCATGTGATTCTTGGATGGCTTGCTTCGGTTTTTGCTTCTTCTCCCACATGTTTGGAAAGGATGCGGTTCTGCTCGGCATATCCTATAGGAGATGCAGAAAACGTAATAATAATAGATATGACATGTAAATGAACCAGAGAAAGTGTACTGGAGGATGACAATAAAAGATTCCTAGTCCAAGGTTTCTCCATTAACAGTCATTCCAGAGGCGATAGAATGCTGTCAAGCTGCTTCTTACTGTTCCAGGAGACTAGCCAAAGGTGTACAAGCTCATTCGGATTATCAATCTTCCTGGGTGGGTCACTCACAACATCTCCCAGCATTTCTTGCTATGGGTATGCTTGGCCACCATGTCGTTAGCCACATGTTGTTTTTCCAAAAACCATGCTACACTGCTACAATCGATTGGGCGACTCTATGCGACTCTGCTTACCTCGGAAGGACGGCCGATTGCATGCTATTCGCACGTCTAGTCAAGGTAGTCAAGTGAGCTCGTCGTATCAGCAACGGGTCGTGACCATGGTGTAGCCCCGAATCTGTCGATGCAAGGCATGACAGGGGAAATTCCTAGAGTGTCGGTTGGCTTCCACGATAGACCCGTATCACCATACCCGCAGCCGCATTGGAACTGATGTGGTTGATTGGAAGCTGCTGCAATCATTCGGCAAGGTATTGGATAGCCATCGGTCTGGTCAGTCAGACCACACTCGATGCTCCTGCCTCTATCAGCTCATCGCAGCGACTACGGTTCGGAGCCCGTCTGAGTCGAGTATAGTCGAGCCACAGACCTTTGAGTTCACCTTTCCACGTCCAATCCGAGGACTTCCAACGCTGATATCTGCTTTATGAACTTGTTCGCAGGGTGCACGCTCTGTACCCGAACATGTTGATACTCGTCGGACACATGCATGTGCCCTCTGTAATTTCAACTTCAAGTTTGCCACCAACTGACCTCACAACCCTCGCACACAATTTGTTGCAGGGTAGACCAGGGACAGTCATGCTTCGTCACATGACATGATCTGCTTCGAAGACTTGACGACGATTCGGAAACAAAACGAATATGGATGCTGTGAAATCCAACACACCCATCTTTGCCGACAACTAGTGCAACTTCAGCTGAACCGGAGGTTCACGGATTCCGTTGCACCTGGAGCTCAGCTTCGACAGCATGAGTTGTCCAGTTCTTACATGGTACAGTATGCGCTGGCGCCAAATCACAACTTTGTAAACCGAAGCCGAGATTGCAGGGGCGAGGTGCGGATGTACCGGCTTCCCGCTCACTTGCTCCAAGGGGGATCAAAGCATGAGCCCCGGATCTACCTTTTGAACCCAGGCTCTTGACGTACCTGTCGTCGTTGAGCACAGTACGATTTGTTACATGTTGTTGGCAGGCAGGGTTTCGTAGCCTTTGAAGGTGAGCGGCATGGATGTCTCCGTTCTCGTTGAGAACCAACTTTTGAAAGTCATCCTCGTCAAACGTGATGAGAATGGCAGTGGCCTTTTGCCACTCGAAGAGCCTCAGCATCAAGCAAGACAGGTGGCGCTGCGTCTTCTGCGCGACCGTCCGTTGCATGACCTAGTGTGTCTGACTTGCATCATAAAGGATATTCCACTTCTATGAGTGACTACGGAGAGTTGTATACGCCCCGGCCTCAAGCATTGCCTCGTGACTCTTATGATGGTGTTATGAACCAGCAACGAAAAGGTGCAGCGCTCTACTGCCATTAAGAACTCGCCAATCATCCGAAGGTGTGGTGCAACGTGAAGCCGGCGATCGAAACATTGAATAAGACGGACGTGGCACAACAGCACCAACTAAGTAAATCTTTAAGCCTTCGAGTTCAGCTGTCGTGGAATCTTGACCAATGCCGCGATACAGACTGCAGTTTCTCGGCCAAAAAGTTGCCCAACAAGCATGGTCTCGCTCAGCTGCTCAAGCGAACATGATCAACATAATGGTGTGGACCAGAATAGAAAAAACGATGGCAACAACAATGGGAAAAACCAATGGTCATGGCTTGACAAGGATACTAGAGCTACTGGAAGTGATGTTAAGCTCTGAACCTTCTGCCGTACACTACACGAAATCCCAAACCGAGGCAATATCACAGACCAAAAGCTGGCAGACCTTGCGCACAACCATGGCCTGCCAAATGCTCTTCAGCGCCCGTTCCTTAAAGCCAAAACTGCAACACTTTCTTTCGAACTTCGGTCAAGCCGAGCGAGGTCAGGATTTAGCTTTGGGGGTGCTGATGCATCACCTCCTGTATTGCTGCTACAACAACAACAACTACTACTACTACTACTACTACGACGACGACGACTACTTCTACTACTACTGCTACTGCTGCAACTTCCGAAAACTAGTAACTAGTAGCGATTAACAGTTATCAGAGTATTGATTCCCATGCTGCAAGTGCGGCGCCCTCTGGTAGACTTTTGCAGCGATTAGAAGAGCCGGAAGCCGCTAGAGCATGCACCCCTGCGTGTAATCTCGGGTGGACCGCTTGAGAGCAAGAGACTAACAAGTCCGGCTTTACAGACGTCACTGTCGATAGTGTGACTCAAAGAAAAGCAACAGCTTGGCCATTCATGTCAGCGTGCTGACCAAGCCACGAAACAAGGTCCAGCCCGGAAACTGAAGAACGGCATTAGGCAGTAGCAGTCCAGAGAAGGGCTCCCGGACTGTCGTACCCACGGCAGCCCGTCGCGTTCCCCCGTCCACGGCATTATTTCTCGCGAACACTCGGCCCACGGCCCTGAGTCCACCTCGCAGCTTCGTCAAGAGCCCACAGCCTCCCCGGCCTCTCCCCGGAGGCCACGAACAAACCACCGCGAGACCACTCCAGGAGCCCCACAAAATGCTTTCCCCCGAGTTTTCCAGCCAAAACCAGCGGTCCGTGTATTGTAACTGACAATTGTACCCGGCCCTCCGAGAAAAAGCATCCTGTCCAGAGTGAGGCCATCCAAGGACTGCATCACAGAACTGTCGTCCCGCACGGTGGCGACAATGTCAACCAAGGACGACAAAGCCCAGCCTTGCAGTTGTGCTTCCCCCCTCGCTGCCATGCTTCCTGAAGGAGGCTGAATCATTCGAGATGCCCTTGCTGCCACACGCGTGTCACCAGACTGCCGACAAAAATTGTGCATCAAACCTTCAAAACCAACAGACACACAAGTCACAGGCTTCGGCGAGAGAGCGGACACCGGCAGCGAAGGAAGCCCTCCAATGGATCGCACCACCGGCCGGGGGCGATCCGCGGTGTCAGTTGGTCTCGAAGCAGCAGCACCCACTGCAATTGGATTGCGAGGAATATGGCGAAGGCCGCACCTCCAATGCCAGGCTTTTCCGCTGCATGCCGCACAAGCACAAGGACAAAGAACAGCACAAGTCAAGCAACTGCCAGATATGCCGAATACTTCTGGCACTTTTACAAGGTACCTGAACAACAAAGCAGCGGCAGCGATACCTGAAAAGCAACGGCATGCAAGCCACCAAACTGTAGGACCTCTCCTGTTTAGGGTTTTAGGGTTCGCCGTATTCGTCGGCCATTAGCCCCCCCTGCCCCGACGCAAACGACCCTTGATGTGTTTCTCGTGTCAAGATATTTTGCGAGACTTCTCCAACATTTCTTCCGCTGGTGGCACATGGTATGGTTTGCAGTTGCGAAGAAAGCCCCTGCTATCCTACAGCGGTTCAGCCCAGCTATGCGCGGCAGCACCACAGGATTGCAGAACATCACGCTGAGCATATTCACGATGCCATGTTGCCAGAATTACAACCCATATTTTTTTGCGGCGTGATTATCCCGCTTCCGCTAATGTCGCCATAGTGATGGAGCGCCCGCAGTAGTGTTGGAAGACTCTGGCTGTTCTAGTGTCAGGGTGCTAATTTCAATAGCACTCGCAATGTGCAGCCCAGTCTCTGCCGGCTGCATGATACTGTCTTCGCCTCCAAAGATGAAAAGGAAAATGCGGTCCCGCACAAACCTGCCAGGATGTGTAGCAACACCACAGTAAGACTATACCATGCTGTACATGTATATAATTTCCGTCTTTTTGGTAACATGACTGTAGACATGTCGAGACCGCTGCAGCATCCGGGTTCTCTGTGTGTTGACGTCGAGTTACGACAAAGGCTGAGGGGGTTGGCGTCAAGCACTTGGCTTTAAAGCATAAAGAGCTCTGATAGGATTCACTTTGTGAACGTGGTTTCAGGCTTAAGAGCTGCTCCAGCGGATTTTGATACGGCATACGTGTCAGCCAGTGTATAGCAGTGTATGCTAGCTCTTGCAAGGCTTATCACACGGCAGTTGACCACTCTGCTGGCTTCCAAGATAAGCAAGATGGAAGCAGTTCGTCTTTTCCACGATGCGATCTACCACGATTCCATATCCATAGTTTCGAGGTCCTGGGGACGCTTTTCTTGCCTGGTAATCATCCTGAAGGTCTTGATTTCTTGGACCACTCAACAAAGCCAAAACTCCAAGAACTAGGCATGTAACGCATGGCAGTCTTCTGCCCGGACCGCACCAGTATCCCCAACAAGACCCCTGAAGGGATACGGTCCGCACTTTCCCTGCCGCGACACATGGAGAGTTGGACAATGCCCAGAATTTGCACAATGAACATCGTCAGGCTGAGAAAACTCCATGGGCCCAGCTCGTCTTTGTGGATGTCGCCTGGGGCGCACAAGCTCAGGATTTTCAACACGGACCTGTGAAGCCGAGGCTAAGCAAGAACTAGATGACACCGTCCCGTCCAGCATATCGACGAGAATGGCACCAACAAAAAAAGACAACACAGCCACGACGACTGAATGCACGTCCGCAAAAAAAGATGCTAGTCATGATGGCAACGGCCATGAAAAGGCCTCTGGTCAAAGTATGGGGCTACGCTCTGCTATACACCAGGCTAATTTTCGTATGCAGTATACTACAGTGCATCGCGTGACAACCGCCCGTGAAGTCTTTCGGAGCGGTCCGCGAACCTATAGTGACTGGAATTGTGGGCCAATGGGTATACTCAGATGGCAAGTCTGGGCGAGGCGCTGTAGGCCACGCGGACTTTGAAGAGGAAGGCATCGATACCAATGACCAAGCACATCCTTGATTTCCAGGGCTTTGGAGCTCTGTGCGCCCTGTGCACATGGTTTTTGGCACCCGCGAGTCGCCGAAGCCAGGCGGTGGTCCCACCCGGACCGATCAGTCATGCTCACGGGTCTTTGGATGGTGTAGGCTTGAAGGTTCATCGGAATGAGCCACTTGTGGGTGATAACATCTCCTGATGCTCTTAGTTGCCTCGTTTCAAGATGGTGGCAACCCGGTGAGGCTCTCGGAGCAGGAAGAAGTAAACTCGTCTCAGATTGCGCAGAGCCGCATCACATGCGATCACGTCAGCAGCCACATCCACAGCAGCACGCGAACGAACAGCAGTGTAACAGCAGTACAGAGCACGTCCAGCTCACAGCGAGAAAGAAGTTTCGAGGTAGCTGCGGGCTTTCCGGGCAACTTTGGAGTGTGTGAGCACACACATGTAAAATCGGTACTGTACTTTAAGGGTGTGCAGATAACAACGAGCAACGCTAGCCGAAGTGCGAACTCACAGCTCGTAGTTGGTTGTTAGCACGCATGGGAAAAGAAAACTGCAGCAAAGCCTATCAGAATTTCGAAGCCCGGACTTCACTGTCAGAGGGTGTCCTATAGTATAGCATCTGAGCGTCAGCTTCTTCAAGGTGAAGACCAACCACAGGCGAAAGCCCGTGGCATAACCATCCTGGCCCACGGCTAATTTGTTGCATGTCGATTTCCGTCGATCAATCACTAGAAGATTGAAGCCTTGAAAGAGGAGCTCAAAGTCCGGCTTCCAACGTCACAACAAAGAGTGACAAATCGAAAGCACTTGAAGCAACAGTTGCTGATCCAACCCGAAACAATCCAAACTCGGTGTGGACTCTCACATAATGTAACTATCATCTAGCCTTTCGGATGGTGAAGACCCTTTCACGTTCTGTGGGTGACAGGAGGCAAACGCCAACGTAGATTTGCCAACACGAAGCCACGTATACTGTTGCGTGTTTCCTTCATCCTCAAATAGTGCACAGAATGCTATACTTAAACCACCTGCTCCCGTTGCCCATGCTACCGCGGCAGCCGAGGAACAAGTTCGGCGCGTGGCCCGGCATATGCTGCAAAGGAAAACACATCTGCGAGCACCTCACGCAGTCACTTTCCGATCGGTAGCAAGATTTCTCCAAGAGGCCCACATTGAAGCTTCGCAGTCCAAAGCAGCTCTCTGTGAAAGGGCGTGCTTCGTCCGCACTCAAAAGGCCGTAGCGGTCATCAGTCAGTACTGCCAGTACTATTGCCATCTTGGCACTTGTAGTTGTTCCAGTGATATCACTCCTAAAACATCAACAGATGGCTTTTCTACTGAAAGAAGGTCGTGTCCCTGGGAGTTCTAGGCTCGCGGACCACAGAAGGCGTCGCACAGTGCAAAAGCCGCATTGCGCTGAAGGACGTGAGCTCGGGCAGCACCTTGCCACGCAGGCTCACGTGCATGCCACAACTACCCAAAGGCGTTTGAACATAATTACTGCTCTGTCTTAGGCAGCCTGCAATGTTGACTGTTAGGACAACTATGGCAACACCGAAAAGGAACCACATTGCAGTCTTCAGGTAGACTGCTGCTTTGCCTTGGCCTCCATGCAACACCCGTGCTGCAACTCAGCCTTGAATAGCAAATGATACAGTCATGATGCTCGGCCTGGCTCTCAGCAGAAACTACGCAACGGAGATCGCTCATTCTTGCTTGCTTGTTTGCGTGAGAGATCTCCTTGCCTGCTTGCTCCCTCTTCGGGCAGCCTCGTACAGAATGCTAGGCACTGCTTAAGAATCTGCAACCATGTTGAATCTGGGCACCGGGACGTAAATATTCCTTCGGGGTACTCCCTAGCTTAGGGATGTAGAAATTGGGGGCAGCGCAAGCCTCCCACCAGAATTTGCAGGCGTTGGTCCATCGAGCGCGCTCCAGGTCTGCGATGAAGCTGCACACAAACAGAGTGACAGCCTGGATGCGCAGTTAAGCTGGGAGAGCTTGGAGTTGCAGAGTGAAAGCCATATGGTGTGCTGCAGCATGCTTCTGCAAATCTGGTGCTTGTCTTCAACAGTATGTGCTTCAGCGCGAGGGTGCTATTCTGATGCTTATGCATGGATAGATAAGATGATTGTCGGGTGGTTTCGCGACTGGCATGCACGTGCGTGCAACATACAGATAATACAAGACCAGGACTGTTTATTATGAACTCCAAGTTTTAGGTTTGTATCTTCTCTCGGTTCTGTCTGCTCTCTCCTTATCTGAGAGACATGAACCTCAAGCCGAGTCTGGAGATGCAAGGTCGGGGCAACACATGTGGGAGGGTGACTTCTGTGTTTATTTAGTCTGAAGTATTATGCCATGTTCTGCTGTATAGCATGGTCTACACATCCAAGAGCCAAGATAGTGCTCGCTCTACAGCAGCGCAAACAGTATACCATAGCATGCTGCGAAATGCACGTCCGTAGTATCATAGCATGCTGTTAACGTGCTCCTGTGTTATCAGAGGCTGGTGCAGCTGTTCTCAACAACAGCAAATCGGGATTCTCGGGGGTCCGGTGATTAGGGGCCAGAAGCATGCGAGAGAAGTGTCCAATAAAGCACTGCTCATCAGTACATGCAAGTACAGTGCAACCAATACAACAATGTGCATCAACAAATGCAATTACGGCGGTATACCATCGTGTACTATAGTTCTGTGTTGGCTTAGAACCCTCATCTCGCCGCTGCCGTCTAGCCATAACACAGTGACAGGTAAGAGGTAGTCTCATTCCTAAACCTCGCCATAGCAACAGAGAGACCGTGTAATACTGTTGCAACCCATAGCTGCACCTTGGCAATCAACAGGGCCAGCAAGAGGAGCTCAATCGCGCAAATGAGGGCAATCCGCGGACTGTGGATCCGACCGTCGCATCCTCTTTGGATTCTTGCCACACTCGGACAACGCTAGGCATGGTCTGACGAGACAGGTACTTTGACAGGTTTCAGACGCTTCACTTGGATGTGTTGCAGAGATTTTCCAGGTTTCGGGGACAAGGGGCACGCCAGCAAGCAGCAATGTTAGTGCATCAAGGACTTGTAGGGATTTGTAGAAGGCTCGGTAAGACTCAAGCGGCAAGCAGGAGCAAGCATGAAGATTCACAGAGGATGATGACAGCTATCAGGCGGGGTCATGTTGATCATGGTAACCTGATGCAACCCAGTACTCACGACAGACGTGGTCTGAACACTGGCAGAAACAAACATCAACACCAAAGTCCCTCTCAACCCACATTGTTGTCCAGGAGTGAAACTCACAGAAGCCAACTCATGCACGATGAAACGGAAGTGTTCCTAGCGCGAAAAAGCTTAGCGGCTAGATTGCTTGCTAGTTCAAGCTCTTGGTTGGTTTAAACTGCAAGCCCAAATCTCAACTTGAGGCTAGGACCAAGCAGCAGTTGGTATCCTTTGCTTCATTGAAGCTTCTTGATAAATCAGCATGGAAGGCACGGTCCCACCGGCAAGTTCTCTCGTGTCCTGTGAGGGTTGCCAGCGCTACGAAGCCTTCGTCTACCAGGAAGCCGGATATCATGTAGTCGTTCTGGATGGCCCTGACCTTGTGCTGCTTTCTGCGACAGACGAACTTTCAGTAGTGCCGCTGATGTTGTTTCCGCAACTACTGCGACAACTACCAAGACGACTACTGTGCAATGATACTCCTGACTACTACCGCATTGCTAACGAATACTACGACACACTCCTACATACTACCTCATAGTGCTACATATTACTACTTCATAGAACTACATCTTTTTCCATGCTACTACATACTGCCACGTAGCACTACATGCTACTGCGTACTACTGCATACTACTACGTACTACTGCTGCTGCTGCTGCTGCTACTACTACTACTACTACTACTATTGCTATTACTACTAATGCTACTGCTACTGCTACTGCTACTACTACTACTACTAATGCTACTGTTGCTACTTCTACTTCTACTTCTGCTACTGCTACTAGCCACCCCCCTCCCACTAACCACCGCCTAAACCCATCATCATCATCAGCATCGTTGGTATTGGACTACGACATCACGGAAGTACTGTAAATGTCAAGTAAAATGGACGTAGGGGGTCGCCTAGTAGTAGTAGTAGTACTACTACTACAACGACTACTGCTGCTACTACTACTACCACTACCACTACCACTACCACTACTACTACCACTACTACCACTACTACCACTACTACCACTACTACCACTACTACGACTACTACGACTACTACGACTACTACCACTACTACCACTACTACGACTACTACGACTACTACCACTACTACCACTACTACGACTACTACGACTACTACGACTACTACTACTACTACTACTACTACTACTACTACTACTACTACTACTACTACTACTACTACTACTACTACTACTACTACTACTACTACTACTACTACTATACTACTACTACTACTACTACTACTACTACTACTACTACTACTACTACTACTACTACTACTACTACTACTACTACTACTACTACTACTACTACTACTACTACTACTACTACTACTACTACTACTACTACTTACTACTACTACTACTGCTGCACCGCCAAGACGGACGACTACTTGTCTACTACCATTTTCACTTGCACTTCCGCCACACACGATCCGATGTGTCAGTTCGTGCTAAGCTGCTATCGAAGATGGCCCGAAGGTTGCCAAGCAGGCTTCGGCTGTTTTGCCTGCCGTGCTTTGGCAGTCATGCCGGCACCTGAACCTAGATGGCCAAACAGACCGTGGTTGGAGTCAGTCTTCATCTAAGGCTGTGAGCTGAAGGCTGGCCACAGCAGTGCCGCTTTGCGCGGGCAGCTAACTCGCACAAGCACTGTCTATGTTGCGAAGGATGACAGCCGGCGGCTATGCAGTTGGTCTCGGATTGACTTCGTGATTTATAGAGGAAGCGACTGCGGGCCATGTCAGTCGCATGGGGCGTTGATACCTGGTGTGGAGCAGTCGTATCGGAAGACCTGGTCACTGACGGACACAGAGTGTTGGACAACCGTGCTAAAACAATCACAACAACAACAACGACGACTATGACGGCCACGACGACTACCACGACTACTACTAATACGACTACTACTACGACTACTACTACGACTACTGCGACTACTACTACTACTACTACTACTACTACTACTACTACTACTATATTACTACTACTACTATACTACTACTACTACTACTACTACTACTACTACTACTACTACTACTACTACTACTACTACTACTACTACTATATACTACTACTACTACTACTACTACTACTACTACTACTACTACTACTACTACTACTACTACTACTACTACTACTAGGGTCTCCCCCGCCCCGGCCCCACTCACCCGCATTTGCCTAGAGCATCCACGCACTTACCATTGCACTACTTTGCCAAAGCATCCATGCCCAGACCATAACAACCTCCATTTCCTAAAGCAACCTTTCCGACAAAGTCGGCTTTGTACACGTTGCTGCGGGGCAAAGGCTGCTTACCGGCAAGCTTCAAAGATGCTGTCTTTCCCAAGCCTGCCTGGAAGCAAACAGAGTTCATCGGACTTTGAACCCCGGAAAATGCAGACTTTGGGCTGCGTTGGTCTCGGTAGAACCATGCTTTTGCACGTGTTGCTGATTGCAACTGCCGTCGAAAACGATTTCCTTCTGGGGCCAACGGGGGTGGGCTTGTTCTGGTACATCTGGTACTAACACTGCTGTTGCGGCATGTTGTTCACCACGTGTCCTCCGGTGTGCTTGACAAGGCTAGACGGCGTATGCCCAAAATTCATTTCGCGGCTCCGGTCTGGACAATGCGGGGAGCGGACACTGCATACTACTCGAGCCAGTGAAGCTGTCTTGTTGCTATTGTGTTTTGATACTGTAGGTGTATACATCTGATGCAAGGCAATGAAGAAGTAGAGCTGCAGTGAGCGGACGCCGGTCGTTCGAAATCCTGCGCCAACCCATCATTTAAAAGATTCATACACAACTCCGCTGGGCCACGTTGTCATCCACGGGATGGATTCCTCAGCTTTGAAACCGTACCAGTGCCAAAACACCTGACAGCAAGGTATCCAGAGAAGAAGGAGGATGGGAAGGAACATTTGATGATTGCAGTGGCGATGATGACGCTGGGAGCCACAATGGCACCATTAGGGATGACTTCTGCAGGCAGTCTCTGAAACTCAGATGAGGCATGTCACACACAGCTTTCCTTGTCAGAAGCAGAATCTTGTGAACACGGCGAACAGCTGCACACGTCTCAAATACATCAAGTCAAGACCATGTGATCTCATTCTGCGCCGCATGGCATTCCAAACACTGAACATTCCAGCATAGGTGCCCAAAGTATCTTCCTGCTGCTCATCTGCCAAGTGAGTGGCATGGACCAAATACCTCGGCGACAGCGGAGCATGTTCTCTGTTTGCGGCCATTACCCGTGGGCGTGCTGATCTGTATGAGGCCTGGTGAAATACTCTATTCTCAAGATTGAAACGCCCACCGGCAATTGACCCGGACTCGATGCTTAATTGAAAGCATAGCCGTATAATTTACATGTCACGGAATTCGTTACATGTAGTCTAGTCCAGCACAGTATGTCTCGAAGTGTGATTTTCCTTCAACTTCGGAGAGGCCTCCATCTGTGTCACGTGTTTGGCATCATCTTCACATGCTAACTTGACGCTGCACGAATTAGTTGCAGTTTGACACAATGCCTTGACTCAGCGGACAAGGTTGTAAGGCATATCCCTCTGTGTGCCTTATCTGCATGACAAATGTTCGTGCACCATGCTCTAAGTGCGCAGCGTCTTCCCCTTATAACAGGTATAGTTTGACCATGCAGACGAAAGCGTAGGCCATTCGGCAGTGCAGAACTGCAGCACACGCAGCATGAAATGAAATAGGTTCTGGAAGGACTCGGCAGTTGTGGGTAGATGCCCGCGAAATGTCTGTCAATCATGTATCGTGGTACGTATCCCAGCAAACTATACAGACTGAATGTAATTGATAACTATACGAGCGATCTTGGCTATCAAGTCTGTGATGCTGAGACACCTCTGAAACTGAGACTGTGTTTCATAACCTGCTCATGTTTCTGCTGTTGATTTATGAGCAACTCAATGACGGGAGCAGAAGTAGTAGTAGTAGTAGTAGTAGTAGTAGTAGTAGTGCTAGTGGAAGTAGTGGTAGCAGTGGTAGCAGTATGAGTAGCAAAAGTCGGAGGAGATGTAGAAGTAGCAGTAGCAGCAGCAGCAGCAGGAGGAGCAGGAGCGTGGCAATACTAGTAATAGAAGTAACTTGGAGCGGTAGAAGTGGTAGTAACGTTATTCGTAGTAGCGAAAGTAGTAGTAGTAGTAGTAGTAGTAGTAGTAGTAGTAGTAGTAGTAGTAGTAGTAGTAGTAGTAGTTTTTTGTCACCCACCTAGCACGGTAATGCCAGCTCCGCGGGGCTCTCTATGAGCAACAACGACGGGAGGGCGTGCATTCGAAGAATTCCGAACATCCAAATAACACAGGCCCCACTCTTCGGAAAACGAAGCAACAAAAGGTAAAGCCACTAGTACTGGGGCCCACATTTTTCTCCGACCGCAATTGTACAACTTGACCCCTGCCTAACGACCTTGTTAGCAGAGCAACAGCAAAACAGAGGTTAAGGCCACGACTACACGAGCTCGCATTACAGGGCACGACTTGAAAAGTATCTCAGAGGAGTTCTTCTACACCAGCAGGATGCAAACTGGGCAAGTACAGCTACGAATTGCACTCAGTACCTTGACACATGGTCAAGAAGAAAACAAACCATCTCAGGGACCAGCTAGCCAGACTCCCGAGTAAGTTACCGATGTGGACTAAGTACTGTCATCCTCGTGAATTACCATGCAAAGCCACTACACTAAACAGTTCGCTCACTCACTCTATACACAGGTAGAGTCATCATCAGACTTCATACGCAGAAAGGGCCAAGTCAGGAGCCATAGTCAGAGGATGCCCCCCAAATAAAGTAGGGGCGCTTTCGAAGGCGACAAACCAGACGATCTTGTGCCTCGGGCAGCCCTTGGAGGTCCAGTCATTCTCCGCGGCTAGTCAGATTTTGAAGACCCTGCGTTCTCATTCCTGGGAGATCCAACCATTCATCAGATATCCATTGCCTCTGGCGTAGTTTTCCACACGGAGCTCCAGAGACCAATGAGCTCCCAGAAGGGCTCCTATGTGACCAGATAGCAGACGGTCCCAGAACATATATGGGTGCAGAGATCGGCAGGACCACTGATGCACCCGCGTGTCCCCTGTGATCGTCAGTTAGGTCTGCATCCAGGTCACCCAGAATTCCAGAATATCAGATTCCGCGCAGTGTTTTCCATACGATCTGCTCATCATCACAAATATCCCCAAATTTCCAGCAAACAATGGCTCCCCAGTAGCATGTTGGCAATATGGTGGTAAACTGTCAGCCCCAGCAGTCCACTGTCTCCAAGTTCTTCTTTTTCTGGTTTTTGAGGTCTTATCGAAGAACAGTCTGCAGAGGCATGTGCATGGCTGCACGCATCATCGCCAGCAGAGAAAATCGATCAGAGAGTCAGAGGCGACGGCCGTCGTCCATGGCAATGGGTCCTTATGTTTATTAAAACAGAGATACAGGAAGATACCAAGTATACCCCAATGAACCCAGAGTTGAGCGACAAGACACGACCGACAAGGGAGGGGGGAAGGGTCAGGAAAGGCAGTACAAAAGGACAAAGGGCAGTGCAGTGCAAAGAGGCACTGCAAAGGAGTAAACAGTGCAAACAGTGCAAGGAAAAGGCAAGAAACCCGAGGCCAGAGGCGAGCAATCAGGGCAAGGAAACAAAAAGGATCGCAGTGCAGTGGTGAAAGGAGGCCCTCATCACATCGTGTGTGTTACACACACGATGCTCGGCAGGATCCTCTGCAAAACCCGCTCATCTAATCCTCGAAAAGGCCGTGACGACATTCATCGTCATCTTCAACACCCGCGCACCTCAGAGCATCATCTGACGACGACGGAAACGGTGGCATCCAACATCGATTGAACTGTTCATCCATTCTGGCAATTTTGTGTGGAGGAGAAGCCTGAGAGTGGGGGGAATCAGGGACAACTATAACATCCTCAGATTCGGTTGGTTCCAGAGCAAAGGGACAGTTGTTTGAACCCCTGATCCCCGAATAAGCTAGGGATGAGTTGGTTTCGGACTTCCAAACAGCTTGGAGCTCGGAAACCAGTATCCTCAAACCGGTAATGTCAGGGTGCTGGAAAAGGCACTACAGAAGGCCGTTAGAACAATACGCCTCTCCGAGGGTCGTAGTGAATATCCAGCATGCAGGTGTTTGCGGGTGTCCACGATGAGAGGTTTTGGGCGATTGGGACAACTCTGCAGCGTAGGAGACCTGTAGTGGAGGAGAGCTCGACACTACCAACACCATCAGAAATCCACAATCCTTCTCCCACTTCCTGGGTGTTAGGGCGAGGATTAGAGCCGGGAAGGGGGCGTTACGCATGTCACGATGAGGCTCAGGTTTGATTCTTTCCCTAACGATGATAGTATTGAAGCGAAAGAAGGGGGGAGCGACCCTAGTAACGAACCTAGCAAAGACATTGGAGGTCTTGGGGGCCAGGACTGTGCTAAGGAGGACTTCCGAGGAGTGTCTAGGGCTGCTGCCGCACATGAACCTGTTGTCACGCTTAATGTCTTTGGGGATGGCATCAAAGAGTCTCACAAGATCAGCGGGCTTCAGGCGGGGCACGTTATGGCAGAGAATGTTGGAAGCTTCTAGTTCAAGGTCATCCAGGCTCAGCTGAAGGCTCAGGGAGGGGCTCAGGCGGTTTGAGATAGGCAGGTGTCGGGAAACTCCTAGGTCGCTAGTTACTGCTGTTGTTCGAGTCGTTGTTGTTGGCGCCCCGGGCGTCACTTCCAATGTATCCGGCTCCAAATCCAGAGGTGCCGGGGCTAGGGGTCGCAAAGGACAACTCCACATGCTACTCGAGGATAGTAGACAGCCAGTTACACCAGCAAATCTACTGTAACAACCCTTCTACCGACACGGGTGGCGTCGCTGACCGCTGTGGAGCCTGAGGCTGAGGTGTTAGAGATCCTATCAGTCAGAGGGGCTCGAGGCAACGTCGCGTGCATAAAGGCTCGCGCAGACATGTTTTACGAATGCTTGGCACAGTTCCGTACACCATGGTGTGAAAAGCACAAGGCAGTTCCAGTACGAATGTGATGCAAGGACGACAGTTCAAACGCTTTCAGTGCAAAGTTGCGATACGAATTAGTGTGCATGCTCATATGCGGTCCCATCTAGAGACAAAAGGGAGCAGCCGGACGCGTGACGCATGATCGTCATGCGGTAGGCGCAACCGGTCGCTTACCTGAAAGTCCTCGGCGGTCGACCTGAGTGGGTCGCTGGCTGGCTCCCCTCACTCTGGGTGCTGTCCGGCGTCGTCGTTGGCTGCGGACCAACAGGTGTCCTCGCTTGGTGTGATTCTGGATGCTGAAGCATGTCACGTAGGCTCACGAGCCGTGCATCAACTCGTTCCAGTCGTGACTGGAAGCCCTCAAGCCTTAGTTCCACGTCCCCTTTCCAGCCGTCCAACGCATGAAGGACATCGCATGCCCACTTGAAAGGCTGTGAAACCCCGTCTGACACGGAGTCCGAAATGGCCTCAATGGACGTCCTGGACTCCTGCAAGGTCCTGTCAGTCTTCTCGAGTACTTGCTCCAGCTGACTATTCTGTTTGCGGATGCTGTCCGGAACTTTATCCCGCTGTCCCTTGAACTCCTTCTCAAACGAGACCATACGTTCCCCCAAGGAAGCTCACTGGTAATATGTGTAGCATATGGGTGTGCGTCCCCTTTAACATAGTCTGCAAACAGTGCCGAGAGAGCCTCCAAGTCTGTCCTCAGTGACTCAAGCTGTTCAGGGACCTGCTTGAGGAGGGGATCGGTGCGCCTGCTTACCACCAGCAGTAATCCCAATTCTTTCCGAAGCAGCCGAATTTTTTTTTAAAGTGCACTGACCTTTCTCCGCTCCGCCTGACGACGTAGCAGGGGCTTAGCCTGCCTCACTCGGGGCTTGCACTGTTTGTGCAGAAAACATAGGTTGCTTATACCAAGTCTCTGCTACAGCAGCCGAATTTACTGTTTCAGGTCCTTATGTCGGGAGAGTAGATCCTCTCGCAGCACCTCTGTGAAGATCCTCGGCGATCACTCCAGTCCCTAGGTATGTGCTCCTTTCCTCACAAGGGCACGATGCATGGCCCGGTTCTCAGAAAGGATCCTCCAAAAGATGAATGCACCTAGGAGGGCAATCACCGTCTAAGGACACACATCTGGAGCATCCAGACATCCCAAATGTCCAGCCGTGCTCCAGCGAAGGGCTCCCAGAACATTTGTCTGGGGAGTGGTGCATCCATGCTC